ACATCGTGGTGGGGAGTGCATGGTGGGCCAAAGCAGCTCACCTTATGGCAGCCAGGAAGTAGAGCGGAGGATCCATGTCCCAATACACCTTTCAAGGACACACCTCTGTTGACCTACTTCTGTCTAAGCCCCACTCCTAGGATTTCCAGCAAGGCTTCAACACAAGAGATTTTTGGGGAACATTTCAAATCTAAACCACAATATGTGTGCACAGGAGTTGGCAGCAAGAGTAGTGGACAGGGTTACTTGTTGGTTTGACACAGACTAGACAGTGTCTTCATGGTCCTGCCACCCTCCGTATCCTGCACTTCTGTTCCTGGCAAAGAACAGTGCAAGGCAACCAAACCCCTACCTGGCCAGGGCAGGAGATTCAAGTGCATCCACCAGTGAATGCTAGTGAAGAGGTTCTAGGGGGCAGCAATCTTTCCCGGTAAAAACTTGTTTACCTCTCTCACACACAGATAGGCAGCGGTCAATTCTTAGTCATCATTTTGATGTCTCAATGACATCTGACACAGCTGATTACCTCTTCTTGAAATATTTTTCTCTTGGCTTCCAGAACAAGATTTTGGTTTTCCTTCTACCTCAGTAGCCACTCTCATCTCCTCTGCCAGTCCTCTCATCCCCACCTCTGGCTCAATCCCCAGACCTCTTCTCTCTGCTGTGACATCACTCCTGATGTGATCGCATACTGTCCATGGCTTAAATACTAGCTTTTATAACAGTACTAACCTTTTCATTAAATTCCACTTATGTAAATAACCAAGTGGGTTAACGTACTAGTTGTCTACTGTTGTGTGACAGCAATCTAGTATCTGAAAGTAAATATCTCAAGAGTTGCCACCTGGGAGCAGCATAGCTAGGTAGCTCTGGCTTGGCCCCTCAGGAGGCAGCAGTCTGCTGGAAGGATCCACTTCCGCCACATGGCTGTTGACAGGAGCCTCCGATTCCTCACCACATGGGCCTCGTCCTAGGTTGACTTCACCCACAGTGAGTGAGAGAGGAACTCAAACAGAAGTTGTGGTGTCTTTTACAACCTACTTTTGGATGTGATGTGCCAACACCACTTCTGTATACTGTGGATGCAGGGATCACTGGATCATTGCAGAGACTAAGCACCACAGGTTCTATCTGCTATCTCACAATTTAACATACCCAGCTCACAATCTTTACTCATCACCCCCAAACTTTCTCTTCCCCTTACTCTTCCCCATCTCAGTAAATAACAGCATCTTCACTCAGCTACTCAGGCCCCAAACCTCCATGTCATCCGGATTCTTGCCTCTCTCATACCTGTACTGAGCCCAACAGCAGATTTTGTGTATTCTGCCTTCAAAACACATCCCAAATCTGATTGCCTTTGTCCCTGCACTGCTACCACACCCTCTCCTAACTAGCTTTACTACTTCCACCTCCACAGTGTATTCTCCAGAGTACTCAAGTGAAAGTTTTCAAATGCCACACTCCAGTATTCTGAACTTTCCATCGGCTGCCCTTCCAATTAAACCAACCCGAACTCCTAAAGCCTGATACACTCTGGCCCTTGCACATCTGTCCAGTTTTCTTTCCTTTGTCTGCTCCTTCTTTACTCTAGCTGCACTGGTCTTTTTTCCTGTGCCTCTGATCTACCATGTGCATTTCCTTCTCGGGGCTTCTCATTTGCTATTTGCTATCTAGAATCCTCTCCCATCATCTGTTCATGAGGTCTGGCCCCTAACTTCATTCAGGTCTCTGCTGAAATGTCACTACCTTCCAAGCCTTCCCTTCTTTCCTATCTGACAAGTGCCCTCAGAGAGGGTTTATACTTTGTGTCCCTTATTGTCACCTCTATTAGAACAAGGACTTTCATGAGTTCTATTCATTGCTTTCATGAGTTCTGTTCACTGCTACCCCATTACCAAAACAACCAGAGTAAATGGACTGGCGGTGTGGCTCCAAGTGGTAGAGCGCCTGCTTTGCAAGTTCAAGCTCTAGTCTCACCAAAAAAAAAAAAAAAAGAAAAGAAAAGAAAAACCTAAATTATTTTCTTGGTATAGAAATATATAATGTATATTGTATACAAGTGGAAGCGGGCCCCAAAGTGAGGACAATTCATGTTTGCTCCACAAGCACTTGTGCATCTGCAAGATAAAAAAACAATGAAGCCTACAGGGCACTGGTGGCTCGTGCCTGTAATCTTAGTTACTCAGGAGGCAGAGAGCAGGAGGGTCATGGTTTGAGGCCAACCTGGGAAAATAGTTCAAGAGACCCTTATCTTGAAAATATCCAATACAAAAAAAGGGTTGGTAGAGTGACTCAAGTGGTAGAGCACTCGCCTAGCAAGTGTGAGGTCCTGAGTTCAAACCCCAGGACTGCCCCCCTTCAAAAAAACCAAAGAAGCCAAGGGTGGTCTATAACCCCAACACTGGGAAGGATGAGGCAGAGGATCCTGAGATTGAGGTTATCCTGAGCTACTACTAAGACACGGTCTCAAAAAAAAAAAAAATTATTGCTACCCTTATTCTACAGAGCTTATAATATGGTACAAAATCCAAGACATGGATATACTTGGCCTCTCCATTCCATCTGCCCTGCTAGCAATGTCATTTTTCTATATCTACCATGTCTCTTCCCTGCTTTAAACCCTTCAGTGACTTACACTTCCCTGCTGATAAAGCCCACACTTCTTGCTCTGGCTTTCCCAGAACTACTTGCTCTTGCCTCATCTTACCTTCTCATTTTTGTTTCTTGCCCCTTCTAATTCTGAATAACACACTCCACCCAAGCAGTGCTTTCCTCTTATTTCTGCTCATTCTGCTTCCTCTACTCCTAACTCTCCCCAGTGCTCCCCCCACCCCAAACCCTGGTCAGGGTTCCAGTAGGAAGGGAAGGCAAGCCTGGATGTGCACGACTTTTTCTTGAACGCTTGCTAAACAGATGCTCCATCACTTCAGTCACTCTACGAGTCCTGTTTTGTATTGGGTTTTTTTGAGATATGGTCTTTCAAACTATTGGCCTGCACTGGCTTTGAAACTTGATTCATCTGATCTCTGTCTCCCAAGTAGATAGGATTATATGTATAAGCCACTGGTACCCAGAGCAAGGATTTCCTACATGCTTGCCTGTGTCACACTTGCTAATGTCCCACTGGTCAAGCAAAAAGACATAGTTAAGTCCAGATAGGAGTGAAGAAATCACTCCACTTCTGTCGAGAGCAGCAGCACACACATTAAAGAGGGCAGGCATACTGGAATGGGGGAGGGAACTGACTGACCGTGCTTGTTAAAAAGGCTGCTGTAGTACTTCCCATACCTTTGCAGCAAATACCCATGTTCTGGGCTCAATCCAAAATTCACATCCTCTGGAATGATGTTCCCAATCATCAGAGCCTGAAAGAAAATCCTTTCTCCTAACAACTTATGCACACCATCACTGCATCTGCTACTCTCTGCTGTCACTAATGAGCACAAGAATGGATGCATATAATGAGTACTGGATCTACAGTTACACTCGCCAGTGACTATCCACTTTATGCTAACATTGTCTTCCCATCTGACAGGAAGATCAGAGAAAAGGAGTGTGTTGCAGCTTTTGTCTAGTTTTCATTGACGAGGGTAGTTCCTGATACCAAGTAGGTTCTTTAAGATGTCTGTGAAATGAACAAGCACATGACAATAACATGGGATAAAAAGGCATAAAGAATGTTCTTGAGACCACTGCTTTGTAATTCTTAGTAGGCTGCAAATCTCTAGGCCAGGGCTGACATAAAGCTAAGTAAAATAAGACTAAAATGCTCCATAAAGTGGGAAAAATAAAGGAAAATTAGCCACATAAACAATACTGTCCCTTTTATTAGATTCATGTTGCCTTTTTAAAATCCAACCTCTCTATTATCGGGTTTTGGTTATTAATACCCTCTGAAAGAAGACAAACTCATCTTGAGAGAAGCAGTTTTTACTTGGTCTGGCACTCAGTCCTCGGCCTGCATCTATGTGGTTTAGCAATAGCAATGAAGCCCAACAATCTCAAAGAAAAGCATTGTAAACACTGGGAGGGCCCCACCAAGGCCTCCCCATATGTGTGTGTGTGTGTGTGTGTATATTTAAAAAATAATATAACACAGGTATTGCTCTATTAGTCTTTAAAATCATACAGGCAGAAATTATGTTTTAGTATAACCATTTTTACTTTGGGCTAAAGTGGGAATTTTAGGCCTAAAAATAATTTAAGATTACTAAACAGAGGCCATATAGCAACACAGAGTTAATATATCTTGATCCTCATAGAACTGGACATATGGTACTATATCCTTACAGTGGATGTTACACATGGCCATGGGTCATTTTCTTTTTAACTATAATACAAAAGCAAAATAGTGCATTATAGTAATCCTTTGCTCATTACATTAGCATGTATACCAAATTACACTAACTAACTGCATGATAGTGTATTTTTAACATGTGTTCATCTCTACTTCATTAAATACACTACCCAGTCACCAAGAGGGAGAGCATGCTGTACAGGTAAGAAGGGAGAACAGCAATATGCAGCCAAAGGGAGAACAAACAAGAAAAAAAATCTTACAAGATATATACAAAACTAATTTGCAATGACATTTAATGTACAGTTTCATCAGAAGGAATATATCTAGGTTATGATTACATGGAAAAACAGAAGTATATGAAATTCTAGGCTTTCTCTCCTAGAGTATTCCAAATCTTCATCAAAAGTTAATTAGCATAATAAGGCTGACCACCAGGTGACTGAATGAATAAACAGAATGTAATGTAGTAATTTAATAACAGATTCTGAGACAAGAAGCTAACACCAAAATACCCAGAAATCTTTGTGAACAGAGACTCTTATTTTGCATACGTGATACTAATAAGTATAACCGTTAAATGTTTGCACAGACTATGGAGGCAATAGTCCAGAGGATAGTCACAAAGGGGAATGAGAAGAATGCTGTCCCTGCTGAGGTTTGGTTCCCCTTTCCCCTCCCTCCCCCCCAACAAAGGCTATCACTTCACGGGGCAGAAATCTCCTAACAACTCAAGCCCCTTCCCTCTGCCCCCAGCCTGGTGCTGGAAAGTCCTTCAGGTGCTGGTGTGGCTCCTGCTCCCTTGGCTAGACAAGGTCCTTTTGGTGGCCCCTCAGGGTTCCCTTTGGCAGGAATTCCTCCTTCTCCCAACCCCCAGAAGAAGGGAGCGCTGCCTCTGCAGCCACCACTTAGGTAACCCAAGAGACTTAGAAGAAGGAGGTATCTGACGAAAAGGCACCAGCAAGTCTGAAGTCCTCTTTGGTAAGGACACTGTACATCCGCTGAGGCAGTGCTTTGGAGTAGGGAGCTGGGCGGGGCACGGAGGCACGCAGGATGAGCTCCCGGCCAGCAGGAGGGGGGAAGTCCGACACTGAGTTCTGCCTTTTCTCCTCTGGGCAGCCTGCTCTCTTCAGTTCCTCCTCTGGTGGAGCCAAGGCTGCAGCCTTGAACAAAATCAAAATCAAATGCTAAGTTCAAGAGCAAGCTGAATGCTAAACTCAGGTACTTTTGAAGGACAGATGAATAAACGAGATAAGTACATAAAAATGTTCTACATTACTCAGTAATGCAGTCAGCTGTATGTTATGATTACTCAAAAAAAAAAAAAAAAAAAGCTTGAAACACTAAATGAGCCACTACTTTGGTAAAAGGCAGAAGGGATAATGACTTCCAGGCAACCTGCTTTGAAAAGTGAGGGCCATGTTCAGACATCTAAAGGAGTCGATCATGGAGCTATATTGGTTTCTGTATTTCTTTAAACAATGACTCAAGTTCAAATCAAGATGTCCTTGTGCTGCAATAAGGAACTGTTTCTCTAGAGTCTAGAAACATGATTTTTACCAACTCTATCAATTTTTTTAAAGGTTCACTTGCCAAATTAAAACTGGGAGCACTGTTTTTGTTTGCAGGATGGTGATAAGAGGTACATATAGCAAAAGCCATAAAAGAAAAGTTTTCAAACTGAACAGTGTTGACATTTTTTTCCCATTAAAATTGCACAAAGTACATATTCAGTTAAAGCTTTCCATTTTTAACTGATCACTATCAGTTAAAAAGTATAGTATATCACTATACTTCTTTCATAATACCACTGCTTTGGGAAAAAAAAATTGGCAATGGAAACAAGAAATCATGAAAAGGTGAGCATTGGCAAGAAAGGCATACAAAACTCAAGACTGTTAAAGAGGTGGTTAGTTTTAATGACCTTATGGAAGTTAGAGGGATGGGAAGGAACAAGGAACTTTTAGGGACAAAGGCTATTTTGTTACCTCATCAGAAGATTCAGTCAGCTTGAGAAAAGGTGAGAAGAGAAACAGTGATGAAAGGGAAACAAGCAAGATGGTTTAAAAAGAGATAAACAAGATTTCAAGATTATTTCAGAGATGGCATGCACCATGTTAAGAAACATGATTCTATCAAAAGAATACTTAAGATGCAGAGTCACGACACACACAGCACTCCTGGCTGTCAAACAGAATAGACACATCTCACTACTCATGCATCTGATGGTTCAACAGGTGACATACAGGGTGTCATTTAATGAGGAAATGATTGAACAAAAACCTAGCTTTTTCTGAAGAATTAAGATGTTTAAGAAAGTGTTCATGGCTTAAAAATAGGTAATACAGTGAATTTAAGAATAAGCTGGGACTGGAGCAGGGCTCAAGTGGTACAGTGCTTTAAGTATGAGGCCTTGAGTTCAATCCCCAGTATTACCAATAAAAAAAAAAGGTGTCTAACGAGTCATTTAGCTTAGCAAGATTGAACCAAACTTCTAATTTTAAAGAAAGTTCTTTAAATATGTAATATAAAATATGTAAATAAAGGTATGTTATAAAAAAATTCTCAGTGAAATGTTATCACAACTTTTAAGTTACCTAAAATCATTCACTACAGTATCTGAAAGTTTAAAATCTGTTTTTAAATGACATCATATGAGATGAATTTATAATTTCAGTGTCCATTAAAGGGAATTAGCTATATAATGAGGACATGGAGAAGATGATCTTCTATCAGATACTGACAGATAACAGATACAATACCCTATTTTCATGAAATTTACATGTATATACAGTAGATGCTGACAATGATTGCTGGAGGCATGGCTCAAGCAAGCTCGAGGCCGTAAGTTCACACGCCAGTACAGCCAAAAACAACAAAAAAGTTGGCAATGATCATCGCTGAGTGAGTAGTACGATTAAGTGATTAACTTTTTTCTTGTTCTAGCCTCTACATAGCTGGAGAACGGAGTGAGGAGGCTATTTCCACTTGGGGAAAATAATTCAAAATAAGTTATACTCGCAGCACTAAAAGTATAAGTACTTTATATTTTAAAGCCTTTCAACACAATTTAAAAAAAAAAAGATCAAAAAGGAAAGAGTTCATGCAATATGAGGAAAATTTGTATGAGTATTGAACTAGGAAACCTGCCTGTACGCTTCTACATAGTAAGCTGGCAAAGATATTACAGGACGTGAAAACAAACTCTGTTCTTACTTTCATGCCACAGACAAAAACAAAACAAATGAAATCAAGCTTCTATTATTTTCTAGAAGTCTAATTTATAAGAAAATAACATATTTGGTCTTTAACTTGAAATTCTCAAATTTAGGGAGCTATACCATAAATAATCTGGTTTTAGCTCTTGCTAAAAATTCAGGGTGATTTTTGAATGCATTAATAATAACTAGACATACTCCAGACCAACGCAACAGAGATTATAAAATTGTTATTCCATGTGTGGACCAAGGAAAAGTCTTCTTATTTAGTTCTGAGAATTACACTTTCAAAACTGAACTGCTGGTCTAGTTTCTAGTGTCATCACAGTTCTGGTAAAGAGATCCTGTATTACCGCACATCATAATAACGTTTATCAGAATCCCTAATGTAAATGTGCTCTGAAATAAGAATCATCTATGGGATGTCAGCACCTCTGTAGCCAAGGTACCTTATAATTTTTAGACTTATTTTCATTAGCAGAGGCAATGATGAATATAATTTTCCAAACTGGGCTTGTTTTCTGTGCTGTGTCTGTTTCCATAGTCCTAACAATCAGAACTCTTCTTTTCTAGGAAAATGCCTATAAAGCTAGACCTCCTCACCAGTAGAAGAGTAGGTCAGTTTGTAATTCGGGCTGAGTTGGCACTGCTGAGTCCCACCAACTTTTTTAACAGTTGCTTTAAGACTCTCCTAACTGTGAAATGTAAATCCTAAAATATACTTATCTAAATATGTAGAAGAGCCAATGGATTTCAAAAACTCAGAAGTCTTGGAGTCATTGTTTCTTCAATGTTCAAACACAATGCCCAGACTTCTCAGCATCTGTGTGTATAATCAGTCACAAATGGTATTCAAAAGGACATCTTCCTGAGCAAAGGTCTGGTGCGATCATGATGGAGTCGGTAAGGAATCTCACATACCCTCTGAGCATTCACAAACAATTTGTGAATGATCCTGCCAGCATGTCCTCTTCCCGCCCCAGCAACTAACACTTCAGGCTGCTCCAACAGGCAACTCACAAACCTAGGAGAAAGAAGCAGTGAAGAGATGGAAAAATCAGTTGCTTAGGTCACTTTTGTACACTGTCCCAAGATGAATTTTGTAGACAAATCCTCCATTTGATATTGGTTAAAACTACCACTGCTGGAGTGGAATTTCCTAGGACAGGTATGACATGTAGGATTAAAATCAACTCAACTTACAGTCTTACTGCTTTAACGTTTCACAAAATTTTTAAAAAGCCTATCTCTGTCAGTGTAATAAAAAATATTCAGTGTATTTTTTTCATACTAGAATCTTAAAAAATACTACAGTAAATAAAAGATCAAAAAATCATCTGAGAAGGAAGTTAAGAAGGTGAATATGCTTGATGCACTCTCTATACAAGAATAAATATATAATTTGTAAACCTGTTTAAACCACCATAAAAAGAGGACTAAGGCAGAAAGGAGAAAAACAAAGGATGAACCAAATTGGATTATAATACATATACACATGGAAATGTCACAAACAAAAATGTCTTTTTTCCAAAGTGGAGAACAGGAAGGTAAAATAGGTCCTATCTGGGGGTTGGCACCAATGGGAAAGCGGGGAAGATGTAGGAAAGTGGTGTGGGAAAGTAAATATGGTAGAAATATTATGTAATGAAAATGAAAAATGAGACCTGTTGAAACTTTAGGGAATGGGGGGAAGCAGCCAATCCATTGTTTTGTTTTTTTTTTTCTTGGTGATATTAAGGTTTGAATTCAGGGCTTCTTGTTCACCAGGCAGGTACTCCATCACTTGAACCACACTTCCAGACCTGTTTTTGTTTTTTTTAAGAGGTGTATGTGCACTTAAAATATGTTTTGCTGGGCAAAACTGCAATTATAAGCTGTGCCATTATGCGTTCAAAACCCTGTACTTCCAGGCACGTCACAGATACTGTATGGCGGAACTAACAGAGTTGAAGTTACAGAGCCACCAAGCTGCACCATCTGCTCACTAACTCATACTGCTATTTTAGGAGTGATTCCCTTGATTTGAACTTATTCTTCATTTAAAAGGATTTTTCAAGAGCAAAGTAGGCTGGGAGAATTTTCACTCAACAAAAGATACAAAATTCAAACAAGAACTTGTTAAAAGCTACAGCAAATGCCTTGTCATATTAATATCATTTAGCATCAATGATGCCTTTCCTTATGGAAAAGCTAATGAAAGTCTTTAAATTGTGATGAATTCAAGCAGCTAAACAAGCTAGTTTGGAAATACTTCATCACATATTAAAACAACACTGTCCATTCAAGTAACATGGATAAAAAATGGCCACATAGGCTCCATTGTAAGGGTGCTGAGCCACCCATTTGCTTCATGGGGAGAAGCCATGAAACAAAACATGGCTTGCAAAGTACACAGGAATGTACCTTTGCTATCACAAATATTATTTAAAACAAAATAAGTAACTAGGAATACTGAATAGATATGTAGTTTCTGAACACCCCAGGCCATAATCTAGGAACAGTGAGAGCAGAGAGCCAAGTGGAGAAACTGTGAGTGCTGGAGGTGACAGCCCCACCACGGGAAACTTCAGGCACCACACCTCCAAAAGCAAATCACCCTGAGAAAAAGAGGCTCCTGGAGACAGTTTCTGAAAGTGGAAGGACTGGGAATACCTGGCAGAATCTCAGAGAAAGATCAAATTTTAGGATAATTAAATATTTCTCTGTTCATTAGTCAACTGACTTGTTTTAAATAACATATGCATGCCATAAAAGAGTCTCAGTTTTCTAAAGAGATTAGTGGTTTTTCCTACTGCAGATAAAACTACAATAACAATTACCTTTCAAGATCTTCCTTTTCTTCCTCTTGCTCACATTTCTCAGTTCCAAACTTGGCTTTCAGAGATCGGGCTCTAGCAATTATAGCTTCCACATTAGTAATTTGATGGATGATTTCCTAATAGTAGAAAAGGGAGAGGCATTGAAAGACAGCAAAAAAAGCAAAGACTTTTAAAAACGTATCTTTAAAATAATTGTTGCCAAGTGGGATGAATACTGAGCAAAGATTCTGATATCACATAAAACTTACTTCTAGTTTCTTATCTTCTGGATTAGGAAAGTGCAAAACTTTACTGGAATGGGATATGATCTGCTTTATAATCTTCTTAATAGACGAAATGTTTTCCAGATTTTCTATTTTTAAAAAGATCAAAGCAATCATTAATTAAATTAAGCCAAACATTTTCATTTTGGAAGTGAACAAATGACTAATCAAATAAGACATTTACCTTCTTCCTTTACCTTGAGTACAGCTGCATGAATCACACAAGGTAACAGGTGCCGAGCAAGGTCTGCAGGTTTCTGGAATGCCAGATAGTGCAGAACCTGAAAGAGGCACACGTTACATGACGATCACTCCAGGTGTCAAAAATGAAGCAGCCATTTTCAAAAGTACAAATTTCTTGAACTCACCTCAGGGGCAAGTGGAGAAAAGCTTTTTTTCTCTTACTATTTACCCTTGCTCACCCAGGTAAGCAGCTGCTACTGCTAAAGGTAAGAATATCACTGGAAGCACTTAAGAACTTTGAAATTTAATAATGATGAGTATTCTCATAATCTTTTCAGCCTCCATATACATGCTGGTTATATATGCAAATTAGGAAATGCAAAGAAAATAAAAACCATGTGTATATTACACTATACAGATAATTGTTAACAGCAAAGCATTTCATTCTGGGACAATTTAAGACATAGAATACACATATTAAGGACACTAATTATTAAACCTATAAAATACTGTTTTATAATCTGCTTTCTCAATATTTCCAAACAATTTTAGTGATCTTCCACAAATCTGTTTTAGTTCTTTTGGGACTTTTTTCCCAAAAGTATTTTTTTCTTATTATAAAAATACAAAGTCATGTGTCATATGTGCAGTACATAGACCATACCTTTAAGCACCTTATTCAACAGCAGTAAAAATAAAAGTTTAACTTCATAATGACCCTAACTGATACTCACCAGTTTTAAAAATAAAGAGACGTATAATGCAGAAATTCTCCTGAAATCCTATTTCCCAAGGAATATACATTTTGGTGTTTATCTTCTCATGTTTCTATGCCCATTTAAGCACAGAGATATAAAAACATATGCGAATTCTTATCAAAAATCAACTCACATACTCTTTATAATTTCATTGTTCATTTAATGGCTTATGGCAGATATTTACTTTTTGGCCTGGAGAGTTTGATGTGATTTGAAAACTTTTTCTGGGGGGTGGGGGTGCAGGCGAGAATTGGAGTTTGAACTTAGGGCCTTGTGCTTACTAGTCAGGTGCTCTATCACTTGAGACATATCCCCAAACCCTTGAAACTTTTTTAAAATTAAGAAATATACTTCAGGCCATAAAACTACAAATGATATGATTAAGGGCTGGCTCTACTAAACTCTTGAGTATGGCTCTTCCTCCTCCTACACAACTAATGCTGGTTATAATCTCCAAGGAATTTATCCCTTTTACAGGATCTCCTGGAATGTCTCTGACTTTGGATCCTGTCTGTTCCCACTGACAGGCAACAATGAATAAAGAGTCCTGACCCAGGCCTATGCTCCATACCAACACAAAGTAGCCAAAGACTGAGTTCAACTTCCCATTCCCTAAAAGGTTTCACAGTCTTGAGTCCTTGGGCAGGGGGATGATAGATAGCAGTTAGATACAGGCACTGGGGATATACAAAGGGAACTTAAAATGGAGGATCCTTGGTTCAGTGTGCACATGATGAGAGCCTTGTTCTCTCTCTCTCATTCTCATGCACTGTTTCTTAAATGTTGCAAGCTAAACTCTTCTAACCCGGCTTTCTGGTTCCACATTCTTGTTATATACGAAATACCCAATATGACTGAAAAGGAGAAGGCCTGGTGCAAATTGGTAAGAAGGCCCAAAATAGCCAGATCTTCAAGATTCACCTTGCTCATGCATACATATTATTAAAGATTCCTTGCATCTGGTCCCCAAAAAAGAAAAAAAAAAAAAAAAGCTCTGATTTAATCTGGTTAATGTGGGCTTCTTTTGACCATTATCATGTCATTATAATCTCATTGTGCTTTTAAATTTTCTCCTCCTCCCCCAACTCTGAGGTTTTCTTAGGTGTCTATTACTTTTATTTTAAAAGAACTAGATTAGTTAACTCAGTCTTCCTGTTCTCTACTTCATTTGTCTTTTATTTCTCCTTTTATTTTCTTTTATTGTTCTTTTACTAGCTTGAGTTAGAAATTCATTTACTTATTGCATTGATGGGGATTGAACCCACAGTCTTGAATATGATTTCCAAGGGTTCTACCACTGAGCTATAGTCCTCCCCCTCATTCTTTTGTTTTTATTGATATAAAATTTAGGGCTATGGATTTTCCTTTGACTACTTCTTAATATACTTTATAGGTTCTGATATGCAGCGTTTTCTTTACAGAATTTTCTGGAAAATAATTATAATTTTTCTCTGTATTTCTCCTTTTACCCAAGCATTATTTAATAGAAGGTTTCTAAATTCCCAAGTAGGGCTGGGTTTTGTTGTTACTGTTCCATTTTTGACTTCTGGTTTTACTGCAGATCACACTGTTGTTTATAGTATTTCCATTACAAAACTTACTGATGTTTTCTTTGTACTCTAATATAATATCAATATATGTGAATATTCCATGAATACTTGAAAAGAAGGCACACATTTTCAAGGTGTAAGCCTGATATATAGATCTAAAAGATCAATCTTATTTAATCTCTTATTTTTGTCCACTTGACTGTCTTATACTAAAAGTAACATGATAAAAAAAACCCTCTTATTATTGTGTTTTGATCTAGTTTTCCTTGCAACGCCTAAATTTTGTTTTACATGTGTAATTACTGTGCATAAACTGAATAACTCTTAGTTTCTCACTATGAAAAAATAACCTTTTTTGCTTTAATTTTACTTTGGTACAAGGATCATGACCCTGTTTTCTTATTATTTTCATTTACCTTTCAGTACAAAGATTCATGTAAATCTTTGTACTGTTTTGGGGAACTTTGGTTCTTCTTTTTCTCTAAAGAACATTCATGTACGTAGATCTTTATGTATTTCTCATTATTTCCTGAATAAAAATTTTGGTAGAATTCCTAGGTCCCTTTATAATGCGTCTGATGTACACTGCAAGACAATGGTAAGTGCTTTGCAAAAACTATGGGTGTCTTTTCTTAGGCCTATTTGCAACCAGTGCTAAAATCTTTTATGTGAATACTGGATATATAAAAGACTCATTGTATTTCAATGTTTTGCTTGTTAAATGTGACCAAAATTCTTATGCCTATGATATGAGTTTCTAAGATTCACAAATAATGATTAGCATTCTAGTATTAAAATCCAAATCTTCAATTACCTTTTCAGCTTCTCGTGTATCATCAAAGAGCCTCCTTTGCCTTCTAGCAGGAATTGGCTTAGCTGTTTCCCATGCTTCTACCCACATGTTGCTTGGGATCTTCATTCGAGCACTCAGTTCTCCTTTCAGAACCACATTGCCCTTTTCATCAGTTACCTCCTCTTCAATATAGTCCCGGGGTGAGTACCACCTCACAAAATCTTCAAGAAAGCAACCTGGATTAGCTGCCTAAAAACAAACAAAATAAAACTCAACATTTACTGATAAGCCTGTTTGCAAAATCGTACTTTTACTTACAACAAAAAAATCTAATCTTTAAAACTTAATGTGTAAATGGAGTTTGAGTGTGTATCACTTTTAAAATAGGGCAGGCTGTTTTAGTTTTACAAAAAAAAAAATTTCATTTAATGAATTCCAAAAACCTTCATGTAAAGTGGAAATAATTTTCTTAAGCAGACTATGTTATGTAACTTAGTCTGAAATTACAGTCTAACTACTCAATACTTAGAGAAATAGCAAATAGACTGAAATCAAGTTAAACAATATAGAACATGATAATAATAACACAGTGATAGAAAAGTTGTACTCTTCTTTTCTTCAATAAATCAATACAAGTACTGCAATACATATAGCTAACATCAAACATGTTCTATTCAGCCATCAAAATCGTGTGCTTTATATAACAAATTATGATCAAATAAATTGTTTTTGTGCTATTAAGGAACTGAAGTTCAAACTATTTTTCAGGCTTTTGGAACCAAACTTATTAAAAAGTTTCATTCTATATCTATATAAATCTATAGAATTAACAATGATGCGTGCCAAAAACTTTTCGGTGATTCTCTTTTCGAGCTTGGAAGGGAGGGGTGTGGGGAGGTTTTGTGTCCAGTATGTACGAGTAGAATGCTAAGGATGGGCATGAAAACCACCATTGTGAGAGTGAAGAGTGATCTGTGTTAAATGTGAAGACAAAACTGCCAATTTCTCTCCACTGGAATCAATGGCTACCAGCCTGACCATCCCTACCCCAAAAGGGACCCACCTGAGGAATCAGAGAAATTTCCTTCACTGATTCAAGAACACAAACATCTAAGGGCTATGTCATGGCCCATGGCAGCAAAGAATGTCTGTCACCTGCAATGGGTCAAGATTACTTTATGACAGTGACTCATGATTCATGTATAAAGATCTGGATCTTAAGTAGGCAACACCACACACATTTGTGTTAAGAGAGTAAACTGAATTAGAAATTACAGGCATGATGCCTCACACCTGTAAACCCAGCACTGAAGAGGCAGGAGAATCACCAAGTTCTAGGCCAGTCTAGGTTATGCAGTTAGACCCTGTCTGTGGGAAAAAAAAGAAAACAGAAAAAGAATTTTCAACTCCTACATTATAGATTGGTAAAGACATCTAATGGTCCTTACAATTCCAAGCCGACAAACAGCTACCAGGAGAGGGTCAAGGCCCATTTCAGCTATAGCTTATCTTTTCTTTCACTGTTGTAGGCACATACAAAGACATTCTCCAAAATAGGCCTTGCTCTTCTGGAATTATGAAGTGTAGATGCCTCAGGCACATATCAGTATTTATCCAAAGCCGTGGAGACTCTCCCAAGGGTCTCCTTATACTAAGTCATCCCTGTCCAAAATGGGAGTGGCAACCCATCTATTTTAGAGTGACTATATATTTCCTTAAATATATTATCTGTTGAATTTTACTCATGCACAATGTTTAAAACTTTACCATAAATGACCAGTATGTTTCTATGGGGGAAAACTTAAAGAGTTTCAATTTGGAATCTCCTACTATACATACTACCTCTGCTAAGACACCATAGCAACACAGGGACAGAAGACTAAGGTGGCAGCTAGAATAGAAGTCAACTGCTGTGGAGGCTGGTATTTCCTCGTGTGCACAAATTCCAGCCAATTCCTTTCTTGCCTTTTTTATTTTACCCAAAAAAAGAGTTGCCCTGAGAGTCAACTGGCTTCTCTTTATCCACTGTATCAATTATTTTTTTACTGATTAGCAGCATAATAGAACTTACAAATTTTCTGTATCTTTTTTGAGTCTCTAAGGAAAATATATACCTCTTAAGACTTTTACTCAAGATTTTTTCCTTTAAGTAAACACTGGGAAAACAAGCAGGGAATAAAAGGTTCCCTTTTATTGTCACTTGAATCTGCTTACAGGGAAGTGGAAAAGGTTTTCCTGGGGTACTTATGTTTAAAAAAGCATACACAAGGTTTTAGAGAGAAATTAAACTCAGGCTGGCCTCCATAGCCCAGACACAGAGCTGAGTAGGAGCTGTAAACAGGGGGAAGACAGAGGTCACTACAGGATAAGGAACAAAGACCAGGCCTAGAAGTGAGTTCAGAATTCAGCAGAATTTTCGTCCACTGGCCTGACCCGTTTGGGGTGTTTTTTTTAATATACAGATTGAGTATCCCTCATCCAAAAGACTTGGGACCAGAAGTACTTTGGATCATTTTTAGATTTGGGAATATTTGAATATACATAATGAGGTATCAGGAATAGGATCCAAGTCTAAACACGGAATTTATTTATGTTTCATATATACCTTATACATATATACATAAAATAGCTTGAAGGCTATTTTAAATTCTTTCTTCATGCTTGGGTTTTTAAGCTAAGCCAAATGTCACTATTACCTGAATCCTATGTGTTCAACATATAGGCCTGTATCTAAGCCTAGAATAATCTTCTCAAAATAACAAATACCTGCTTATTTAAAACCTGACTCCTCTGAGAAACCTTCCATGACCCATTCAACACAGTCAGTCACCTCTTTGACCTTGCCTTCTTAGGAGAACTCATTTACATAACTATTTATACTACATATCCCACAACCTCCATATGCTAGAACTGAGAATAAACACCATATTTCTGACTCACCTAATCACAATGTGCACTTTAAGATTTATTGGTGAACTGACCCACATTAAACCTTAAGGGCTTCCTAAAAAGCCTTGTATCAAATTGGCTCAGTAAACACAAAGGAAGAAAGCAGCCCAGTATACATATAGAAATAATTCAGTTCTCAACTTTTAACTATTAATAATAGGTGATTCTTTTCTTTTTTCAAACTTAAGAAACAAAATTTGACTATGTCTTTTGGGGGATGGAGGTAGGGTATTGTAACTATCATTGAAATCCAAATGTGTAACAAAAAAGATATTTGGGCCTTCACACCACTTTATAGAGTGACTTTCACAGTTTCATCCCAGAATAGCTCAAAATAGACCCTAGACTTCTGAAAATGTGACCTACCTTAAAAGACTCCATATCTGAGAGCAGACAGGCACTCTGCATGCGTGCTCGGAGGTGAGCCCCTTCTGCCGATGTACCTAATTTAGCTAAGACCTCAGACTGTTCTTCTAGCAGATCTTCTGTCATAGGTGCTGGTTCCTGAAAAGCACAAAAGGACAAAGCTCACCAACAGCCCTTTAGACAAAGCAGAACTATAAAAATAGAATAAAGACAATAATTATTTCTACTCTCAACAGTTACAAGATATATATTTGAAAGAATTCAGAGAAATGCACAAATTTTTCAAACCTACATTTAAAAAGTAGCAAATAAGGATAAATATGACTCTTAAATTTCATTCCTCTAACAGATAAAATTACCATATTTTCACTGACAAGGTTTGAGAACTAAAAGACAGAGGAATTTTGATCTACTGTACATTTTCCTGTCCTTATTAATGATATAGAGATAAAGTTCTAATGATAGTTGCAGCAAGGTTTTCATTGTAATTAATGGAAATGGTTTGATATAGGAAAAGTGGGAGGGAACTACTCTAACAGTGATCATGTATTGTTATGGAATTGTGAGTTCTTATTTTCTCTTCTCTATAATGAATATGCCAACACTTGTAATTACCTAACAAATACCAAGCAAGAGTCTCACACTTGCAGAGTGAAGAAGGATCAGTGAGGCAGTACAGCATACTGGATAAGATTGTGGGCTCCAGAGACAAGAGTTCTGTGTTTGAATCCAGACTCTGTCACCTTGAGCATTCAGACTCATTATGAAGACTAAATCCTGGCACATCCTCAATAAAAACTAGTAATTATAAACAAAATAGTTAGAAGATTATATTATAAACTTCATACCCTACTTTCTGTCTGACTAAGGGAAAGTGTGCTGGACAAAGTATCTAGTCAAGAAGAGACCCAGCAAGATGGTAGATTAGAAGCATCCACTGTTTTAAGTCTATGAATGAGAAGAGTCAGGTGACTCAGAAGACTGTCTTCTGAAGAAAAAGAGAAAGAGCATCAGAAATCACGAAAGAGGTAGCAGGACAACACAAAAATATGAAAAAAGAGAAGCAACAGAGAAAAGCATCAAACAGTTCCAAGCCCATCCCTCACATCTTGGCTGGGAGAGGGGAGGCTAAAGATCAAATCACAAGGTAAGATGGCCCTAGCCTCAGACTGGCAATTTTAGCTGCAGGATAAGCACAAACTCCCCCAAGTCTTAAACCCAATGTGGGGATTTGGTGAGACAGTGACTGGCATGCTGTGGAAGGGGTAGCCTCAGTAAAGATAAACATTTTGTCACTCCCTCTCAAAGAGCCATCTTGAGATAGGGCCTATTGTTTGAGTTACTCTGGGCTTGACAATAGGGAGCAGTCACCATTCAGGGAGTTGTGGAACCCCCATATAGTGTCTGGGTGAGAGAAGCCATAGAGGTGGTCCTGCAGAAAAGTTCAAGCAGCAGGGAGCTACAGCAGTGAAGGGCACAATGGTCAGAGGCCTCATATTTCCTGGCAAGTATCAAGTCCCATCACCTGAGGGCTGGGACAGAAACAAAGCACAGATCCTAAGGCTGGGGTAACCTGCCTCCTGGCTGTGTATATTGGCTGCAAGGTGATCCGAAAGCCCTAAGTCCACACCCTCTCAATCAGCAAAATCTACAGCCTCCTCTCCTGCACAGGGAGGTGAACCACTGGGAGTGGTCTGAAAGTACTGAGACCTACCTCCAGGAATAGCCTTCCAGTGGACAGGTTACCAAGCCAGACTGATAATTTGGATCCCAGACCCCCCAAATTAAGTGAGTTCCACAGCCTCCTCCTCCCCACAGGGAGGTGAACTGTTGGATGGGGTCTGTAAGCATTAAGAGTAATAGGCAGAGGCCTAGGTCCCTCAGTTGTCTCTCAGCCAACACAGAACTCAGTGCTCTGTCTGCTCCCTCAACTCTCTAATGTACTTGGAAGTTACCCTTAGGTTTGGATCCTTACTACTCCTGAGGACACAAACTAGGGAGCTTGTGGAGCAAGTGGGAATCTCCCCAACCCACACACCATAAAGCTCCCAGAAGTCAGTAGCATTTCCCAGTACCCAAAGTGGGACACTTCTATGGTGAAAGTGGCCCAGACGTGGAGAGCTAACCATTCTATAAGACACTCCAGTTAGTTTTCCTTGGTTTGGGAATCAGGCCACGTGCCATGAGCACATGGATAAAAGCTTGATACTCCCAGTCCAGTGGTGAGAAATAATGCCTCGTCCAGCCACTACATTGCCTGCCTGAACACTAAAAATATTTCAACTGAAAGACTACAGGTGACTGACCCTTCTAATCAATGACTTGACCTCAGATGCACAAATCCCAATTTAGAAACAGGAAGTTTGTAAAAACAAGGCAAGATGACTCTTCCAAATATCAACAACTCCACAGTAACAAACACTAACAATAGTGAAGTGGATGAAATCTCAAAGAATTTCTAAAAATAATTATAAGAATGGTCAAAGAAATTAAAGAATACATGAATAAATTCTAAGAAGACTCAAATAAAGAGCTGAATTAATTAAAACAATGTAGGAACATAAAAGAGGAATTAAAAAAGATACAGAAATTTTAAAAAAATTCAAATTGAAATTCTGGAAATGAAAAGCTCAGTAAGTTTAAAAAAAAAAAAAAAAAAAGCCCCAAACCTGAGTTGAAACCAGTAGAATGGATCAAACTGAAGACAGAATATCAGGGCTTGAAGACAAAGTAGATTAAAACATACAGATGAAGAGAAAGAGAAAAAAAACTAAAGAAGTATGAACAGAACATGTAAGACCTCAAGGACACCATTAGAAACCAAACCTAAAATCGTTGGCATAGAAGGAGAAAAGAAGGAATCTGAAAGTGCAGAAAACTCTCCAAATCTTGAGAAACAGATGGTCAGCCATGTATCGGAGGCTTTTAGAACTTTAAACAGACAGAACCAGAAAAGAACTTTCCCATGTCATAGTATAGCTAAAACATCAGGTATACAAAATAAGGAAAGAATAATGAAAGCTTTAAGATATGTACCATGTCACCTACAAAGGCAAAGCCATCAGAATAACAATGGATTTCTCACCAGAAACTTTAAAAGCAAAGAAGACATGGAATGATGCATTTCAAGGCCTGAAAGAAAATAATTGCCATTCTAGATGACTGTGTCCAGGAAAGCTACTCTTTATAATTGAAGGAGAAATAAAAACTGTCCATGATAAAGAAAAACTAAAGCAATTCATGATCATTAAACCAGCACTGCAGAAAACACTTAAAAGAATTCTACATGTGGAATAGGAAGATAAATGCAACCATGAAAATAGGAGAAATAAATTTCACTAGATGAGTAGACAAGCAAATGAGGAGTAAGGAAGGATCAACCACTACCAAAACTAATAAAATGGCAGGAACTACTACATATATTTCAATAATGCCTCTGAATGTTAAAATAGTCTCAATTTTCTAATCAAAACACACAGACTGGCAGATTAGATTACAAAACAAGACCCAAGGTTGGGCATGGTGGCTCATGCCTGTAATCTGAGCTATTTGGGAGGACTGCTGTTAGAGGCTAATCGAGGCAAAATGTCAGTGAGACCCCATCTCAACCAATAAAAGCTGCACATGATGATGTGTGTCTGTCATTCCAGGTATGAGGGAAACATAAACAGGAGGATCATGGTCCAGGTTAGCCTAGATACAAACACAAGACGCTATTTAAAAAAAAAAGAAAAAAACCTAAAGCAAAAAGGACTAGAAGTGTGGCTGAAGTGGTAGAATACCTGTCTACCAAGAGTAAGACCCAGAGCTCAAACCCCACGACTACCAAATAACAAATTCTAAAACATGATCAGCAAGAAATGCACCTCACTGTTAAAGACAAACATAGGATCAGATTGAACAAATGCAAAAATGATTTTCTAAGCAAATGGAGCCTGAAAGCAAGCAAGAGTAGATATACTCATATCTGACAAAGAAGACTTCAAAATAGTTATTAGTGAGAAGAGACAAAGAAGGTCACGTCATATGATAAAGGGAACAAATCAAGAGCATATAACAATTGCAAACATACATGAACAGATTACTGGCACACCCAGTTTCATAAAGCAAACACTAGTAGACATAAAAACACAGACCCCACCCCCCAACACAATAATAGTGGGTGACTTTAATACCCTTTCTCACCAATAGATAGGTCATCCAGATTAAAAAAATTAACAAGGAGAGTTCAGAACTAAACCATACTATAAATCAAATGAACTTAAAAGATATCTACAGATTATTCCACTCAGAGGCTAAAGAATACATAGTCTCCTCAGCAACCCACAGAACTTATTCTAAAATAGGTAATATCCTAGGACATAAAATAATTTTTAACAAATACAAGAAAACTGAAATAATTTATTGTCTTTTATCAGGCTACATTGAAATAAAATTTTTTAAACTACAGAAAATATCCAAACACATGGAAGCTGAACAATTCACTCTAGAATGACCAGGTCATTAAAGAAATTAAAGGGGAAAAATTTAAAAATTCCTAAAATTAAACAAAAATGAAAAGATAACTCACCAGAACTTTTGGACATAGCAAAGGTAGCTAAGGGAATGTTTATAGCTATGAGTGCCTACATAAAAAGCAGAGAGATCACAAATAAACAAGCTAACAATGCACCTCAAGCTCTTGGAAGAGCAACCAAACCCAAAAACAGCAGATGGAAAGAAATAATAAAGATCAGGGAAGAAATTAATAAAAGAGAGTGAAAGAAAAACAATACAAAGAATCAATACAACAAGAAGTTGGTTGTTGAAAAGATAAATATGATTTGAGAAACCTTAACTAAACTAACCAAAAGAAAGAGGAAGAGCTGGTGGCTTGGCTCAAACAGTGCCTACCTCTACCTAGCAAGTGCATAATCCCTGAATCCAAACCGCTATACCACACACACACACACACACACACACACACAAAGAGGAGACCCAAATTAATCAAGAAAGGGGATATCATATCACAATAAATACCAGAGGATCACTAATGAATATTCCAAAAAATTATTTTAATAAGCTGGGAAATGTAGAAGAAATAGATGAATTTCAGATATATATATGATCTACCACAATTGAAGAGAATAAAAATCACAAATAGATCTATAACTAGCAATAGAATTAAAACAGTAAGTCTCCCAGCAAATAAAAGCTCATGACTGGACAGATTCACTCCTGAAA